ATAACAGTATAAAGTTTAGTGACTTCATAAAATGGCACAGACAGTTTATAAATGAGTAACATGCTTTCCACCTTACAATATTAAAAGAGTAAAAAGGGTTGCAGATACTCATAGTAGTATATATCAGTAAAAAGTTGTAACGCCCCGATTCCCGAGTATCAATTTATAGTTATAAATTCTCATGGTTTTAAGGTCTACTCAACGAGTTGGTGGCCTAAATCGCCGAGTAGCAGCGAGTTAATCCGCGAGTTTAAGTGACCTACTCGCCGAGTCCAAGAAGGGACTCGACGAGTAGGAGCTGGCAGATGAAACCCTAAATTTCGGGGATTTTCACCCTATTTAAGGACCACTTATTCCCCTTAGTCTCTCTTACTGCCTCCCTTGAGTTCATAAACCCTAATTCGTGGTTGCTTTCTATAATTGTGTGCTCCTTAGCTTGGAAGAGGGATCTTTGGAGTAAAAAGCTTGGAGTTTAAGAAGTTTGGAGCAAGGGGCTGTTGTAGATCCGAATTCTTCTCTGTCTTGGTATCATTTTGGAGGTAACAAGTTGTTACCTTGGCTCTCTCTTAGTTAGATCTCCTCATTATGGGTTGGGATTTTAGGGTTTTTGTGGTGGTTCTCCAATTTGGGTCAAGATCTGAGGTTGTAATCTCAGATCTGGACTCCTTTAGCCCCTCTTTGTCATAAAGTTCCAGTCTTTATTGAGCTATGGCCTTTCCCTTACCTTAAGCCACTCCTTTAGCTTGTTTTGGGCCATTATCACCTTGCATGCACGTAAAGTTTGCAACTTTACGTGATAAACATGCCCTAGGAACTCATATTTGCAGTATGGAGTCTTTGCATGACCTAAAAAGCATATGTATGGTTGAAGGATTGAAGGGACTCGGCGAGTCGCAAGGTCGACTCGGCGAGTCATATGAAGATGGTCATGAACTCGACGAGTTGGATGAACAACTCGGCGAGTGCGATGAAGATTGCCTTGGGCTCGGCGAGTCAGATAAGTGACTCGGCGAGTCGGCTAGGGTTTTCCCAACCTTTGGATACGTATGAACGCGGCGAGTTGTAAGGGGAAAAATCGACGAGTTGGCCAAGGAGTTTACGGCCACTGACTCTAGAAACTCGACGAGTCACTCAAGTGACTCGGCGAATTGGCGAGTTATGTCAGGAACTCGGCAAGTAGCTGAGAGTACTCGACGAGTTGAGGTCAACATGGACTGTTGACCTTGATAGTTGACTTTGACCTTGACCAAGGGTTGACCAGTTGACTTATGAGGGTATTTTGGTTAATTGAATATTGATAGCAAAGGACATTGGTGAATATAAGTATTGGAGTTGGAGCTACATTTGGAAGAGTTTGACACTACCTTCCGAGCTACTTGCGAGGTGAGTTATCCTCACTGTACTCAAGGGTCTAAGGCACCAAGGCCGACCCTTTGATTTGTATTTGGAATTGATATTGTTATGATATGTTAGATCGGTATCCTGGTAGATAGGATGGTTGTATGTTGGTATGATCTGTTAGGTCGGTATTCTAGTAGACAAGATGGTTATATGTTGGTATGGTATGATAGATCGGTATCCTGGTAGAAAGGATGTGGTTATGCTTAGAGACCTGTAGTTGGTCTGACTGTCTGTATGCTGGTAGGAGATTACCTGTTATGTGTGCACATGATTGATTGGTAGTTGAGGGTATTCCATCCCGAGGATGATAGGACCCTAGTATGTTATCTCTATAGTTTGTTACATGATTATCTGATATAGGTGCACATGTTTGATTTGTTGTGCGCCGAGAGTATTCCATCCCGAGGATGATTGGACTCGTAGTACGTTGGCATTCCAACCCGATGGTTGATGGGTCTGGGGTATTCCAACCCGATGGTTGAGTGGACCCATAGTATGTTGGCATTCCAACCCGATGGTTGAGGGGCCTGGGTTATTCCATCCCAATGGATGAGTGGACCCATAGTATCTGTGCTATGTGTGTAGTGTGTGGGCATTCCAACCCGATGGTTGTGGGCCGAGAGTATTCCATCCCGAGGATGATTGGACTCGTAGTACGTTGGCATTCGAACCCGATGGTTGAGGGGCCTGGGGTATTCCAACCCGATGGTTGATTGGACCCATAGTATGTTGGCATTCGAACCCGATGGTTGAGGGGCATGGGGTATTCCATCCCGACGGATGATTGGACCCATAATATGATGTTTTTTATTATATGTGTATTGTTGTGTGTATGAGTATTTTGGGGGTAACTCACTAAGCCTTCGAGCTTACATTTATCGATTATTGTTTCAGGTACAACGGATGACCGCGGGAAGGCGAAGGCGTGACCGTACACTTCCTCGATTGATGAATATGATTTCTGGGAACTCTGATGTTTAAACTATTTTGAAAACTAATTGTAATAAATGAATGGTTTTAAATGATTTAAAAAGTTTTAAATTGGCTCAAATTTTATGGGTGTTACAAAAGTTTAGTGATTTCATAAAATGATATGAATAGTTTATAAATTATCACTCCAAAATATTAAAATAGCAAAAAGTAGCTATGAATACTCTTAATAGCATATAACAATATAAAGTTTATTGAGTTCCTAAAATGACATGCACAGTTTATAAGATAGTTGGATAATTCACATGTGAATGTGATTACTGAGCATACACTAAGTTGTTTCTAACTGTTTCGACATGTCTACTATGTAATGGCTTAGTTTCTACTAGTAAGTCTAGAATGATTTTTGTCTGTACATGAAATTTCAAGATCTTCATGTTTGGTAATAGCATGAGATTTGACGGTTGTCACAACATTACATCTATATGTGGATATGGTCCATATACTATAAACCTTTAACCTTTTAAAAAACAAACATCTTAATGTTTCTTCTCTAACCCTTCATAAACCATTGATAGAAACCCCACAAAGTCCTTTATATATATATATATATATATATATATATATATATATTTTGCCTATGATATAAATTAGAGTTTTCATATAAGGTTCCATTTAACCTTGACTTGTTGACAAATGTCATGTTTTTCTTTCCTTTTCATAGATCTAGATCTTTAGTGCTCAAAGCTATAATATAAAACGGAGATAAAAATTAGACTGAAAATATACACCAAAACAATTTGAAAGATGTGCCGTCTAATTAGGGAAAATAACTTATTAAGGTAATTAACTTTTCGGTATGTTCACATCTGTGTAACTATCTTTTTTTTGTACACATCTAGGTAACAAACTTGTTGGAAGTGTTCACATATGACTATTATGACCTGCTATAGCAGGTTAAATCCTAGATGTGAACGCTTTCAACAAGTTCGTTACCTAGATGTGTACAATAAAAATAGTTATCCAAATATGAACATAACGAAAAGTAAAAATAAATTACACGAATGGTCCCTATGGTTTGAGAGAATTTGTGTTTTTGGTCCCTAACTTATTTTTTTAACTTAGATGGTCCTTACTGTTTATTTTTGTTGCGCGTTTGGTCCCTGTCCTACCTAAAAGACTATTGCGTCTTTATTAATTTATTTTTTAATTAATTTTCTTATTTATGTATTTATGTTTTACATATTTAAAAAAATTAATAGACCCCACATATTTGTATCTCCTCGGATGATCCCTACTGTTTATTTTTTAATTAATTAATTTTTTTTAACTCGGATGATCCCTACTGTTTAATTTTGTTACGAGCTTGGTCTCTGTCTTACCTAAAAAGACTATTGTGCCCTTATTAATTTATTTTTTTAATTAATTTTCTTGTTTATGTATTTATTCTTTATATATTTAAGAAAAAATAGTAGACCCCACATATCTGTATCTCCTCACCATCCCATCTCTCATCCTTTTCAACTTCTATTTATGTTGTTTCGCCAGAGTTGAAGTACCAAAAAAAGAAGGATGGTGAAGACGTCGATGTTATTAAAGATGGAAAAGAAATAGAAGTTAGGGAGGATGAGAGATGGGAGGGTGACTGGCAAATTAAATTTCTCAAATGTGGTTTCAGGTGTACAGTGATGAGATACAGATATGTGGGGTCTATTAATTTTTTTAAATATATAAAAAATAAATACATAAATAAAAAAATTAATTAAAAAATTAATTAATAAAGGCACAATAGTTTTTTAGGTAAGACAGGGACCAAACGCGCAACAAAAATAAACAATAGAGACCATCCGAATTAAATTTCTCAAATGTAGTTTGAGGTTTATGGTGAGGAGATACAGATATGTGGGGTCTATTAATTTTTTTAAATATATAAAATATAAATACATGAATAAGAAAATTAATTAAAAAATAAATTAATAAGGGCAAAATAGTCTTTTTAGGTAAGACAGGGACCAAACGCGTAACAAAAATAAACAGTAGAGACCATCCGAGTTAATAAAATAAGCTAGAGACCAAAAACACAAATTCTCCCAAACCATAAGGACCATTTGTGTAATTTATTTTTACTGTTCATATTTGGGTAACTATTTTTTTTGTACACATCTAGGTAACGAACTTTTTGAAAGTGTTCACATCTAGGATTTAACCAACTATAGCAAGTCATAATGGTCATATGTGAACACTTCAACAAGTTTGTTACTTAGATGTGTACAAAAAAAACATAGTTACATAGATGTAAACATACCGAAAAGTTAATTACCTTAATAAGTTATTTTCCCGTCTAATTACTATATACGTCTTTCACTAAAATAATAACTACAACAAATGAAAAAAAAAGTTACATAACATTATACACAAAACTATTTAAACATTATAATCGTCAAATACAAAAAAGAGTATGTAAAAATAATTTAGATTACAATTAATTGCAATTAAAATAAGAAAATTTTAAGTTTATAATAGAAGTATAACAAAGTGAAAATTAATATTTTTTATATAAAATTCAAACAAATAAGCCAAACACACACCCGACAATAACACACCGACCGATGTTGGATCATACCGAAAGCATAAAAACTTTAATCTTGGTATTATTTTAACCAAAAGCCAACTCTTTAATCTTTTTTACTCGTCCATAATTAGCGGAATTCCACGTTGACGTTCTCTCATTCTCTCCCACTATAATTCTCAGAAGCTAGCTTTCTGCATCAAAGCCTCCTTACTCACAGATACTTTATTTTTGGGAAAAGGCTTACTATGATGATGAGAAGTTTCTTTCCTTTGAACGATTGATGATTTCAGTTACTTGGTAAGTTCATAACTCTCTTTCTCATTATTTTAGCAATTTCATCACTATCTAATGAAGTTTCACTGCTCGAAGAAGAGATCAAATTACTGTAAGGGTTGCGATCTTTCCGGTATCAAGTTGTCTGATAACAGGCAGATTGAATATCTGTGTTATACGAATTTGAGATGTTTGATGAAGTGGGTTTCTACTTTCTTGTGATTTTGATTATTGTAGTCGAATAGTGACAAACTGAAAGGAATTGAAGCTCTTCATAATGTAATATTCTTGCCTCTTTAAGATATTAAAGCTGTGGAATTTATATTAATTCAATTAAAACTGATTAAAAGTAGCCTGATTTGTTTTACTGCAATATTGTATTTGTCTGATTCTGATTGTTTGTACCAACAGGTAATTTAGAGTGAGCTCAAGCTCTTCTATACGAAGATCTCTGAAGCCCTAATGTCTTAAAAGAGACAAGGGCCTTTGGTGGGAGGTTATGATGGATAATATGGCAGTGCCTTCAGCTCTATGTGATATTGTGCCTATTTTAAATTTTGCTGATGAAGTTGAACCTTATCACCCGAGGGCTGCATACCTTTGTAAGTTCCTTTTTTACTTTTTATATGTGTAGGTGTTGGTTTGAATTTGGTTTTAGGAATGAGCGGTTTTCGACAACGTTTTGTATTTTGTTTTATTAGAAGTTATTTCGACAACCTTTCCATAGGGGTGTCAAATCCGGCAATCTTATCCTATTTTTGTCTGACACGACACGACGCGACAAAGTTTTATAACACGAACACAACAAGACGCGACAAAGTTTTATAACACGAACACAACAAGACACGATGTTGTGTTTGTTTTTAACTAACACGAGCACGAACCAATTAAAAACGACAACCACAACACGACAAAGATAACATAAAATAACATTTAGTTTATTTAATTAATACTTAATAATAAATAACATGACAAACACAAAAAAAACACGTCAAACAAATGCTAAATCGTGTCAATTTCGTGTCGAATTTTGAACACGAACACGACACGACATTGTGTTTTTTACACTCACGAACACGAACTCGAATTTCAGTTTCGTCTCAATTTCGTTTTATGTCGAATACTTTTGTCGTGCCGTGTTATAAATTATCACCCCTACCTTTCCATGTTATTATTCACGAAAAATTCATTATGTTTTTCATCATAGGCAATACCGCAATAGTAAAGTTAAAATGATAATAGTGCATCTTCTCAAATAATTGGTAGTTAGGCTAGTCCTTGTTAGTTTGCTTATGCTTGAACTTTATTTTGTATTATTGATTTTTGATTTTTCTTTTGTTATGGTGTCTTAAGTTGTAGCATTTTCTAGAACTTTTTACTATCTGAAAATACAAATTTAATAGTTTTTTACAGGGATATTTTAAGATGTTATTCCGACCATTTAGTAAGCTTAAACTACTTATTTCTCTTATAGCTAGGTTGTGTCCATTTTCCTCCTTACATTTGATAATATTTTATGCACACCCTAGTGATTTTTAGATACTGAATATGTATTAATTTTTTATTACAAACTAGAATTGAATATAATATATGAAATTTATATTATTAAAAATGAATTATCAAAACTTTCAAAAAAACAAAAATATCAAAGATTAAAAAACACTGCAGTCACATATATAATAATTAATCAAAATTTTATTGAATTGAAATAATAATTTAGCTAATGCTATTTTTTCAAGAAATATGACGTATACTTAAAAAATGACAAATTATATACTATAAATAACATATTAGAAAGACAACAATAAATTAGTTAATTTTAAAAAACAAGCTTTTTGAAAAGGTTGACGATTTGAGAGTTTGTGAGTATAGGCTTTTGTTAAATGGATATGTTCTTAGAGCATCCACAATGGTGAGTTCAATAAGAGAGTTGAAGGAGGTGTCAAGTCTATGTGTCATTCAATGGACTAAACTATATCATTGTGAGATGTCACATTGACATTCAATGGATTTGGAGTTCAATGACCATTGAACTCTTCAATAGGAAAAAGGAAAGTTTTTAATTCATAAATATTTATTACAAATTACATTTTGTAACATTCTATTGAACTTTGTAGAGTTCAATGCATTGTAGGGAAAAAATGATAAAATTGTATGGATTGTAGAAAGATGATGTGACAACCCATTGAACTCTGTAGAGTTCAATGCATTGTGGATCCCTTTAGCTTCATATGGAAGCAATAGTTTTTATTATATGCATACGAGGTAGAAACTACTTTGAACACGATGCTTCATGAATTAGCTTATTGCAAAAACTTCTAGAAAAACATATTTTTATTCTCATACTCATATCTTCAAAGGTTATCCATATTTTTTTAGTATTTCATATTTTTCGATTGTTACACAAATTTTGAGAATAATATGCATGAAAGTTTTACATCGATTTGTAAGGAAAACAGGCAACAAGCTGCGTTGTTAATCTTTACTGGATGGAAAACTAATTATTTTAAAAACTACATCCATAATCTAGTCATAGTATTACTCTGCATGACCCTTTAAACTCTATAAATGAGCTCCACAACATCTGCTACAAGGAAACCAAACCATATCAAATGTGATACTTTGTACTCTGCAATATTTTGGTGGATAAAAAACTTGTATATATGTTTCTAATTTGAATCAAATAAAGATTGTGTCGAGGAAGAGTAAAACAGGGAAGGCTTATTCAGTGCTGAGTTTATAGAGATTATGTTTGAAATTGAACTTCCTTGCATTTTAACCGGTGATAGCATTGAAACATCTATTAGATGGTAGTGCCCATTTTCTCAAAACTGAATGCCATGTATATAAACCATTTCATCAGGTCGAATGCATGCCCTTGATAAAGCTCATAGACAAGATCCACTATCAAGTGGTCGTGGTGTTCATCAATTCAAGACTGCCCTAATTCATCGCCTACGCAAGGTACATTTTCTCTCCCTTTTCCTATAATTCAGTATTTGATTTTGAAATGAAGTAATATTATGGGGGTGGAAAATTCTATTCAGTATTGTTTTTATCCGTTTGTTTGTAACACGTTTATTTAAAACAAAGAACGGAAAGAAGTTTGTTAGTGGAAAGTTGAAAAGAACTTTGTACTTGAAATTGACAACTTACAAATCCTGGATCTTTGTTGCCCTTATACCTGCAATGCAACCAAAAATTGCTTCGGTAGGTAACCGAAAAACTCGTTTCATGTGATCTCTATTGACAGGTTACATGAACAAAAAAAAATTCATCATTTCAGGTGTCAATTGACAAAAGTTCCCATCATAAGAAAAGAATAGGAAAGTGAATTTAATTGGTGGAAGTTTAGCAACAGAAGAATATGTAGTGTGGGTAATTTATTGCTTCCCGGATCTAAGCCCATTTTAACGAACTGAACTTTTAGTTATGTGATCGTTGAAAACTTTATACACCATTAAAGTATCAAATAAAACTTACACATAACAGAAAATATATGTAAGCTTTTTTTTTCTATATAATGATTACTGTCTCATTAAAACCTCATTCTTAACTACAATTTGAAAGCCAAAAAGTTTATTTTATTAGTCAGAATCTTTTAAAAAAGATGATAGTGTAGGTTAACATGGCCTTAATTTCTTTTCTTATACTATTAATTGATGCACGCCAAAAATGTCAAAACTTATTTCAGTCTTTTGTTCTTCATCACCTCATGTATCCTTGTTTGCTTATGCAAGTGCTTAAATGACCATATTTACTCCATTGCCACTGGAAACTTTTTTACTTCGATTCTAAGATTATGAACTCCATCATTGTATTCTATTCAGGAAAATGCAACAACATTAAGAGGAAGAATAGATACTGATGCACGTGAAATGCAGGCCTTTTATCGGCATTATTACAGCAAGTACATTCAACGCCAACAAAATGCTGATAAACCTGCTGATCTGTAAGCATTTTTTTTGTGTCTTATTTTGTTTAATATTCGATCCTCATTACATAAATTTACTTCTAATATCAGTACCCATTTTCCAAAAGAGTATCAAATGGCTGCTGTCCTATTTGAGGTTTTGAAGGCTCTCAGTCTGGAAGAATCCATCGAAGTGCCAGATGAGGTAAATTCTGGACACTTCTCTTCCTTCAGAAAATTCATTTGATGATTGCTTATATTTGTTTATGCATGTGTCCATAGATATTAGAAGCACACGCACATGTTGCTGAGATGGTAAAATTGTCTACTCATGGTATACTTCCAGTCGAACCTGAAAGTTCAGATCAAGCACTAGTAAGATATCGAGAGGTTAGTTCAAGAAATTGTGTATATATGTATGTATTCTGAGATTCGATCAATATTAAATTAGTCTATATCTATGTCTCAGATCAAACAACCAAATGACTTCAAAATCCCCCTTCAGACCATAAAAGATTGTACCCAAGACTTTGATGAAAGAAATTTTATCGGGAAGGGTGGGTATGGAAGTGTCTACATGGGAATCCTCTCCTGGGGTGATCATGTAAACAAGCTAGTTGCTGTAAAACGACTTGATGTCAAAGGATTTCAAGGTACCAAGGAGTTCCTCACAGAGCTCACAATGCTTTCACAGTATCAACACGAGAACATTATAACCCTTGTTGGGTTTTGTGATGATAACAAAGAGATGATTTTGGTTTATGAATATGCAAGCCATGGAAGTCTAGACACATATTTACGTGACACTACGATTTCGGGTGGATTATCGTGGCTACAACTCCTCAACATATGCATTGGTGTTGCTAATGCATTGGACTATCTTCATAATTATGTGGCAGAAAAACATAGAATAATACATAGAGATATAAAAAGCGCGAATATTTTGTTGGATGAGAATTGGAATGCAAAACTTGCGGATTTTGGGTTGTCAAGGATAGGTCTAGCAAATCAAGAGAACACGTTTGTGATAACTAACTTGGCTGGTACACATGGTTATTGTGATCCACAATACGAAAGAACAGGTTTTCTAACAAAAGAATCAGATGTCTATTCTTTTGGTGTAGTTTTATTTGAAGTATTGTGTGGAAGGTTGGCTTGTGCTTTGAATTATCATGATGAGCGGCGATTCCTCCATCATTTGGCCCGAACTTGCTATAGAAATAAAGAGCTAGACAAGATTATTGATCCCAGAATAAGGAAAGATATCAAACCAAGGGCATTGAGCAAGTTTTCAACTATTGCATATCAATGCTTGCAAGACACTCGGGAAGAAAGACCTACAATCGCTGAAGTTGCATTCCACCTTAAGGAGGCCATGAAAAATCAAGTAAGTATAAATGGGGTTGTAATTGATTTCATCCTTGGACTTTTTTTTTAATTAATAAGAGGAGAAAATTATCAATATAAAAATACACATGTTAATGACTTGTCATTTGTTTTCATTCATCATCAGTTGGAAGATGAATAACTCGTCAGGAAGGGAACACCATCGTAACTTTTACCATCCTCTAGCGCTACCTCATTTGGAGCCATGGGACAATATATGTTACCTATCCTAACAAGACACTCTCACCCCTCCCCCTAGCGATGTTTATTTCCTATTTGGTTGTTGGATGTTTCCATCATTTCAGAAACGTCTCCTTTGTTTTCCTTGGTCCTCAATCTTATGCTTTTGTTTCATTCTTTCTTCTTGTATCCGTATGTGCATTGTTTCACTCATTATTCAAACATATTTTTCAAAAGGAAATAAATTTTGTATGCACTTTTTTTGGTTATCAAGTGTTTAAAATCATTGAAGTTACTCAATTTCATCTGCAACTTAATGACTACAATATTGATGTACGGAGAATTCCTTCTTCACGATCAATTTCAACCCCTTGAATGAGAATACAAAGTAATGGCATGAGTTTTCTATTGGCATGTTTTGACCTAGGTCACTTCGAGATATATATTGTCATAAAAACCAAATAGATAGTGAGAATTATGACGACACTTGGTGCATGTTTTGGCTTATTGCATAGACATGTAACCATAGGTTAGGGTTTCACGGGGGTAGCATCTAAGGTAGTACATAGATTCTTTTTTAGCACACATCTATAGACATCTATAGAAGAAGAAGAGAACCAAACGTCTACACTCTATAAGAAAAACTCTTTGTTTTATAAAGTTTGCAGACCGTTAAAATAAATTAATTTGTGTAACTTAATTTTTTTTCTTATTTCCTTTTTATCAATAGTAATCTATATTTTATAAAAACAACAAAACTAAATTTCAAATTCAAAACAATTTTAATGCATAACTAAAATCAATCAATTTATTCAAACTGTTTTAAAAAAAATTACAAAACTTATACGTATGAACAGGGTTGGTCCTAAGATTTTTTATTCCCTAGACGAAATTGCATAATTCTGCCCTGTTATATACCTTAGAACTATAAAATTAAGGTGATATATTAATCATAGAAGAAGTGCTTGCATTCTTGCATTTATACTCTAGAGTTTAAAAATTTAATATCTAGAGTTGTAAACACCAACTCTATTATCCAATCAAAATTTTATAATTATCTCTCTCTCTCTCTCTCTCTCTCTCTATATATATATATATATATATATATATATATATATATATATATATATATTATATATATATATATATATAGAAGAAGGATCATTTGAGAACTTATAGTTTCCCGAGAATCCGAGAACTAAATGAGGGTCGTTAGATCAAAATAATAAAAGGTCAAGATGATTTATGTCAATTTTGTAAATAATTAGAAAAAAGAAGAGACGGGGATATCAAACTAAAATAAACCAGGGGCATTTTGGGATAACATAATTTATAATCAGATTCAATTTGTGATTCAGGTCAAACAAAATCCGTATGCTCTTTCTCTCTCAATCATCACGTCTCTCTCTACCCTTCATCCCATCTCCTAACTTTTTAACCTAGAATCTGCCATTGCCGATCGATCTCGTTGTTGCGATGGTCCAGTCCGATCAATGTTTTTATTACATTAACGAGCACTATTGATGGTGAAGGTGAAGATGCTAGAACAGAATTAGTACAAATTTGTTTGTGTTGACCTGATGCAAGTCGAAGTCAGAGAGAACAATGATCTCTCTCACACATCTGTTCCTACAATTTTTAGAATCGATTTATACAATCGTTTTCTCGTTGTATGCAATCGATTTCTGCAATCGTTTTCAAGCCGATTTCTAACGCCTACCGATTTCTAACGCCTACCGATTTCTAACACCTACCGATTTCTACAATCGGTTTCTTGCCACATCGTGTTCGTGTTCGAATTTCTTTAGATAAGAAGTAAGAATCGATTTATCTCTTAGTCTTAGTGTCTATCACTCGATTTCTGATTTCTTAATACTCCAGTTTTAGTAATTTCAAGTTTTGAATCCTCTAATTCCTGACTTCTGGTCCGCTGGTTAAGTTATGTTTTCTCTCTGAGTGATGCAATCTGATTCATGGTGGTCTATTATACAAGGGACGCCAAATTCCAGAGTGATAACCATCCGATTCTGAAAAGAGAAGATCATAGGCCTTCAGGAGGTACGCTTTTTTTTATCTCACTAAGCAATCTAATTCCTGATTTTTAGAGTGGTATATTCTGATTGTTGATTTATGATCTCTCATAATGGTATTCGGATTTGATTGGAGTTGGAAGATTTGATGGAGTTGAAGTTCGACTTTCATCCCTCAACTCAGGAGGTATTTTTCATTTTGAAACCTTAAACATAGGGTAATTTCTTGACTCCTGTCCTTTTGTTTGACCTTTATGAATTGTTTTTGCCTAATCATTAAGTTGAACCTATTTAGTCAATATGTGTTTAAAAAAAGTTAAATCCTTGTGTTGATTGGAGGTATAAAAATAGACACTTGTGTTGTTGAAAAATATAGATATTTGTTTGCACTCAACGTGTTGGATGAAATGCCTCAATGAGAAATGTCACATATTAACTTCACTTTGACTTCATGAATGATGAACCAATTCCAATTTAGGATTCTGAACAATTTTTTTGGTTATATTTTGAGAAATGTAGGAGGAGAGAGCCATATTTGTACACCACAATATGATTTTAAACTGCATCCAGTAAAAACATGCATGCATTCATTTGATGGCTATGCAGAGTGTAAGGAAACTCAACTACTATGTTGTCCAACAAAATCTGATCTTGCTTTGGTTTTTTGATGTAATAGATTTAAGCAATTATTAAAATGTTGATCATGAATATTTAGCAAGTTCTTATCATTCTGGAATAATATCTGGATTTATGCTCATCTCTTTATACCTTGAAAGAATGACATCATCTGGAACAACAGTAAGAACTTTTGCAATCTTTTTTTTTTTCAATTTGGAATTGGAATAAAAAAATACATATTTTTCCAGTTTAGGGTAGTTGTAATTGGTCTTGGTGCTCTCTCTCTCTCTCTCTATATATATATATATATATATATATATATATATATATATATATATATATATATATTCCTAAGTTGGTGTTGTATTAGAAAGTAAAAAGTTGAATCTTTGGTTACATAAAAATTAGGAAACCATAATGTTGGTAAAGAACTATAACCTTTTTGTGCTCTTTTGTTATAGAAAAATATTCCATGATCCATTAATCTTATTTTTTTCATTACAGAAGTACATTTCTGAAAGAGATTATGAACCATTTGGTATTTTATTATTGTCGTGCAATTTGAAAGTATATAAAAATCATATATTTCATCCATGTAACAAAATTTGAGATTTGTTTTTGAAGTTTTGAGTGAAAATTGACATGAGACATTGGTGGATCTATTAATCGTGAGATAGGTTAGTTCTTATTGATTTGATTAGCTGATGCAATATGAATTTGTTTATGTTTATTTTATCTTCTTTTCTAATAGGTTATTTTGGAGTTTATTAAAGAATTGGATGAGTAATTTTTTCGGGCTATGAATTCCGGTGGAAAATGTCGGCTTTGTTGGAGGTTTTGACTTGCACCTTTCCTAACGAAACACCCTCAGGTAAAATCTCATAATTTAAATAAATAACTTTCAATTAAATAGCTTGAAACTTTATGTTCCATTAAATGTACAATTGTTATTGCTTTGTGTATAGATTCTTATTGCTTTATGAATTATATAATTCACATATGAATCACATGTAAATCATAAGTAAATCACATATTAATTACATATGATTCACATGTAATTCACATATGAATCACATATAATTCACATGTAAATCACATGTCATTCACATATGAATCACATGTAATTCACATGTAAATCACAAGTGAATCACATATGAATTACTGTGATTCACATGTAAATCATATGCAATTCACATATGAATCACATGTTACATGTGATTCACATGTAATTCACATATTAATCACATGTAATTCACATGTAAATCACATATCAATTACATATGATTCACATGTAAATCAAAAGTGAATAACATATGAATTATATGTGATTCACAAGTAAATCACAAGTGAATCACATATGAATTATGTCTATATTCACACATGCATTTTGTGTGTGTGTGTGCGTTCTTCGTTAATTATTTTTTAAAATTTTCTTGTCAATTTCACATTTGAATCTTAAAATATGCAATCACATGTGAATATCACATTATATAATCACATTTGAATCTTACATGATATAATCACATGTGAATCTTACATGATATATATACATGTGCATTTTTTTAGTGTTCTTGCATTAATCAATTTTTTTTTAATTTTATTGTAGATTTTGAAGAATTTGTGGAAAATATTGAAGAGGTGAAAAATGATAAATTGAAGAAAATATGGAAATTTTGATATGAAGAAATGACAACACTATGAATCTTTGTAGCATTTTTTATTTTTTCTATTTTATTTTGTATCAAATAAAATTCTTGTATCATTATGTTTATAGATTGATTAATAAAAATGAGATTTTTTTGATTTACTTACGAATATTATAGTATAAGAAATATGCATATATGCATTTGAAAAAAATATGCATATATACACATAAAACGTTGATTTTTTAGGTTAAAAAATTATAGTTTTTTTTTTTAATTTACTGATTTTTGAATATTTACTTTTTACAAAAATGCAGTTTTAAAAAAAAAATGCATTTTTTTGAAAAAACTTGCAGTTTTTTTTTTTTTTTTTTTAAAATGCACTTTTTTTTAAATTGCAGTTTTTTTTTTTAATTTGCAGTTTTTTTAAAAAAAAATCACAGTTTTTTTGGAAAAAAATGCAGTTTTTTTTTTATTTTTAAAAATGTTGTTTTTTTTAAAAAAATTATAGTTTTTTTAAAAATATTTTTTTCAATGTTTTTTAAATATTCAAGTTTTTATGAAAAAAGTAAAAAATCTTCATTTTAAAATAAAAATCGAAAATTATTTTAAAAAAAATATGAAATTTGATTTATTATGTTAATTTTTAGAACATTTTATTAATATTTTCAATAACAAAAAAAATTAGACATTAAATGAGATCGGTAAGATGCCGATCATGTCCTTAATGAGTTAATTTTGATCTAACGCTCCACCTTTAGTTCTCGGGTTCTCGGGAAACTATGAGTTCTCAACCGATCTCACCCCTATATATATATATATATATATATATAATATATATCTATATATATATATATATATATATATATATATATATATTATTTTCCTTCCAAACAAAAATTTGTGTTTGCCCTCATTTTAGAAAAATATTAGCAAATCTTAGTGATAATAAAAATTTGA